AAGCCCTTTCCTAGAAGTAATAAAGAAACCCCAGGACTACCTCTTCAGTTCCAAAAGATCAACTACTGAAGCAGGAAGACTGCTGCAAGTTTGAGGCCACCTGGGCCACAAAGTGAGTTCAAGGCCAGCCTGACTGCAGATCCTGTCTCAAAAAAAAACCAAGTAGACAACTCACATTTTAAGATATCAACATACCAGATAAATATATACATTGCGTTGGCTGAACCCTATATTAACCATTTCAAGAGGTCCATCATGGCCACATGTCGAGGGAAATACCTACAATGAGCCCCATGCGATCACAGCGCTGTCTCCTGGGTGGTGAAGCTATGGGCAAAGGCCTGAAGAGTCACCCCGGATTACAAAAAGCCGGCGGAGACTCACCCAATGTTATAGTCTGTTGCCAGCCAATTTAATGATATGTTGGCTCTGGACTCACTCCAGGCCCCAACAGCTGACCTGCCCAGATGTGGCCCCCTTGGCTGATTCACAGTTCCAAGTGTGTTGCATCAGAAATGGTCCTCCTATTCCACATACAAAAATGGTTCCGGGCCTTCTTTTCTAGCTTCTATGACTTAGGATACTTCTCTCTTTCTGGCCGTACTTCCACGTATCCTACATTATTTAAACAGGCATGCTGGGCAGAAGGGAAAGGTCAAAAGTAAATCCACAGTTCATTTCTCATTAGGTCATAAGCTGGTCAACATGGAAAGCCTAAACCAATATGGCACTTCAGTGTGTTAAACTATGAAGACCTAGTTCTGCTCTTGTTCTTCTGCCATGTACACTGGGACTCAAATGTTCCCCGAAAAAGCCAATCAACCCACATGGATCTCATCATCACATACAGCAGAAGATCCAAAATCTAAGCTCTCACATGCCCAAGAGGAAAAAAAATCCTCTTTCCTGCCAACCAAAGTAATCAGGAACAGGATTTGCCACTACATATTTTTCATCACACCAGGTTTCAGGCTATTATATTCTTGTGTGGGAACTGGGTGTGGCCTATCTATCCTTACTGATTTCTGCTGAATCTGAGCGTGTGGATCCTGACAGTCAACCCAAATCATATTTTCTGAGTCCCAAAGTAAGATCCTAAAACTCCTAGGGAAACAGACTGTGAAACTTCTAGGACCAACATCACTTAACATGAGAACACCAGATAAAAATGGAACAAAATAACAGGCAAAATTAACCTTTTGAAATAAATCCAGCTCTTATGCAATTTTAAAGAAGAAAACCAAAGCTCAACGCCTTATAGAGGCCACATTAAAATTCCTTGCAAAGCTTAGTCACTAACAGTGTGTCACTGGCATAGATATATATGAAACAGACCAATGGATCAACATAGTCTAGAAACAAACTCATACATACATGTTCACTTCATTTATGACAAAGGTAAAAGTACACTGCTCCCAGTAAAGAACGATCTTTCAATAAAGAGTTAGATTAAGTTGATTATTCATATTTTTTTAAAAAACTTTAAAAGCCTATTTCACACTATACAATCAACTTCAGATCTGTGTGTAAAAAGTAAAACAATAAATAATTTAGAAGAAAACCCAGAAAATTATCTAAATGACTTTAAACTAGGCAAACATTCCTTTGAAAGGATAAGAGGTAGCTAGGCATACTGACATGTGCCTATAGTCCCAGCTACTCAGGACACTCAGGAAGGAGAATCAACTGAGCTCAGAAGTTCAAGGCCAGCCTAAACAATAGAGCAAGACCAACTGTCTCAAAAATAAAGTAAGTAAAATAAATAAATGATAAAATGGAGTATACTACAATCAAGAACTTCCTTCCACTGAAAGAACTACCAAGAAAAAGAAAAGCTAACCACAAAATGAAGATCTTTGCATCACATTTAGTCAATAAACTCATATCCTTAATATGTAAGCCATTCTCACAAAAGAGTAAGAGATTAGACAACACAAAAAGCAAAGAAAGTAAAACATGGTTGTAGTTCAAAGATAACCAAATGGCTAGAGAAAAGGCATTCCATACGTAGTTATCAAACAAACACAAATTACAACCAATATCATACCCAGCCACTATACCAGCTAAAATAAAACACTAATAATATTAAGTGTTATCAGGATAAAGAATACCTAAAATTCTCACAGACCACCGATGAGAGGGTAAATTGGTTACAAGTATTCTGGAAAGCTCTTGGGCAGTACCTAGGTACTAGAACTGATAAGCACAACACAATACATCCATGAACTCAGCAGCCCCATGTGGCAATGGCTATGTACTCTGCAGCACAGACAGAAAGCCTTTTCCTCTACTCAAAGATTTCTGAGACATTGCTAGCATACAGCAATGAGAACAAATGAATTACAAATGCAAGTAACAAAATAGGTGAACTTTACAAAGGTAATACATCCATTCACACTGTTCAAACACTAACAAAACCAATCTATGTTATTACAAGTCAGGATGGGGTTAGGGATGTAGCTCTGTGGCTGAGCCCTTGCCTAGCATGTGTGAGGACCTGAATTCAATATCCAGCACTACACACACACACACACACACACACACACATATACACATACACACACAGAATCAGGGTGGTGGTCCCTTTGATGGGGTTGAGAATACTGACTGGAAGGCTTCTGAGGTGCCAGTCATGTTGATGCAGGCCATAGCTAGGGAGCCAATGCGTTCACAATGGGAAAACACAGACCCAATACTAATGATGCATGCAATCTTCTGTATGTCACTTGCACATAATTAAAAACTGGAAAAACCCATTCCCCCTCCAAAAAAATTACTGTTTCAGTAACTTTCTGATTTTACAGTGTCATTAGAGCAAGTTTATTCCAGCAGCTCTAAATGAATTTATTTTTGTTCTTCAGGAATTATACTTTTATGTGCGGCCACCAGCACACAGAGGGTTAAGAGAAGCAGCATCCTATGAAATTAGTCACCAGATTTACTCCAAGATGTTGAGTATGTCCTTCATCATATCACAGACTGCTCTTCACAAAGATTGCAAAGGAAAGTTCCACAACCCCCAAAACAGAATAGCCTTCACTTTTTTCCTTCAGCATCAAAGTGCACTGAGCCTCAGAGAAGGCTCAGAGGTCATTTGGGTCTGTGTCTGATTTCCTTGCTAGGTCCACATTAGGTCCCCGCCTTCACCCAGGTCACTCCACCACCCCCCTGCCCCTGACTTTTATGTTTTATAGTCCTGCACGCTGCTTTTAAATTCATTCTGAAACAAGATGGGTGTAAACATGAAAGTGAAATGATCTCACTTTTTCTAGCTGCCTATTTCAATTGAAAGTGGTAAAGCAATTTATTGAATGCCTCCCCCACCAGGGTGCCAAGCACTAGAAGTGGATATAAACAAAGATGCTCTACTCCTGACCTAAACAAGCATCCCATTTCACAGAGGACAAATAAGATCATTCATTATCCTTCAAAACTTCAACCTCAAGCCGGATATGGTGGTGCACACCTGTAATCCCAGCACTCAGGAGGCTGAGGCAGGAGAATCATTGCAAGTTCCAGGCCAGCCTGGGCTACAAAAGTGAGCTCAAGGCCAGCCTGAACTGCATAGCGAGACCCTGTCTCAAAAAGACAAAAAAAAAAAAAAAACAAACAAAACTTCAACCTCCCCCAACCACCTCTTGCCTGGGGCGGGCAAGCTTAGTCTGATCTCTCCCCGCCACCTCTGAGTTCCCACAGGCAGCACCTTAGCAGGCTAGGAAACCTGGACTTAAACTCATCTACCATATGGAATGATGTGCACATGTGTGTCACCCTTGCCGGTTTGTCATATTTATAAGGATTGAGTCCGTGCCTTTAGTGAGTTTTCTGTCCTTGACATCTAACACAGTGCCTTACACATACCAACTAATCCCTTAAAATATACTGAATGGAAATGAACAAGTGAATGGCAGATATCACATGTTGCAACGGAGGAATACTACAATACTGCTGGAGCACAGAAACCTGAGTCTTTCTGTCCTGCAGGTCAATGAGAGCTTTTTGAGAGGGAGCATTTAAGGTGATTTTGAAGACTGTGTGGGACTTCTTAGGCCAATGACCAGGACAGTGTAGAGCAGAAAGCTCTGTTTGCATAAGTCTGGGCTAAGCATGAAAGTAAGAAAGACTGGGGCAGATGCTGAAGGACTAGAGCTGGGCCAGATCACAGGGGGTTCCGAGGGCAAGAGCAGAGAATGGAATGTTTCACAGCATGGGCAAAAACACCAGGGCTGTGTGAGCCACTCCTAAAGGGGTGGGTGTGCGTGTCTGCGTGTGTGCGTGTGAGCGTGTGTGTGTGTGTGTGTGTGTGTGTGTGTCTGCTGTGGGGAATAAAGGATAAAGAACTGATCTTTTTTTTATAAATTTGCAATCAGAAAATTTAAATGAAAAGCATCTTTAATGTGGTCCAAGGCCAGAATAGTTCTCTAAATAAATTCAAATGTTACATGAGGCATATCCCTTAAGCATTCCAAGTTTATAAAGGCAAGAGTGTGATAATCCATAAAGACACTGACAGTGTATATAGTTGTGCTTGCTTAAACAGCTCAGAGCCACTGGATTAACTCTGCTCAGTAGCCCAGTCACTCAGCTCTTCCAATAAATTGCTCATTAGACTCTGTCTTCAAGCACTCGATGTATTCCCCTGGCCCCAAAGACAGGCTATGAGCTGAGAGCATGGTCATGCCTGAGCCCAGGAGGGGATGGAGGCTACTCTACTTACAGAGCCACTCATACTTACCAACATACAGCCACTGCACAAAGGCTAGCTAATGCCCATATAAGCTAATGCACAAACTAAGCAAAAATACTGCTTGTTCCTTAGCATCTCTAAGTTCCAATAAACTAAATCCCCACCCTTCAAATGAGAAACACAATCTGCCACTTACATGATACAATGATGGAACAGCTGTAAAACAGGTCTCGCTTTGTCAGAGATAAAAAACTCAGGGCCCAATTAAAGCCCCAACTTCATGCCAATCCCCATCCTCCAAATGGAAACCTACCTGGTCCTTGGTTTATACCAAGTTCAAATTCAACAGGAAAGAACCTTAGTACTCTGGCTGGAGGTTGGTCGGGGCAGGCTAAGTGAGTGTCTCGCCATCCCCTCTTCAGACAATAAGCCATTCAGTCAAGTGAACAAATATTCTGTGAGCACCAAGTGTGGGCACAGACTTGCTCCAAGCAGACCACAAGCACCTGTGGGCACATGGTGGTGTAAGACCCCCCAGCCCAGGAGCGGGTACTGACAGAATACTGAGGCATCCACACAGCCATGGACCATTTCTGACTTCTGCCTTCACCTCCCCGTGGCCCAGGGTGCTCTGAAGGAGAGCCATCTCTGTCTGTCAGATTCCTTCCTCTTCCCAGACACACACCCACCGCACCCTCACTCCCACCCATGAGTCACTTGTACCAAGAAAAAAATGCAAAGGCCACATCTTGATTCAATCCACATTTCTGCAGCTCCCCCAGGCACACACAAAAAGGGGAGGGGTACATATTTCCTTCTAGGATCTTCCTCCTACAGATTCTGCTAACTGTGGTAAAGGAATGAGGAAGACAAACCCTCAGAGCCTTATAGTGAATTAAATGAAACCATTTCCAATTACACCTAAAGTCCTCCCTCTCAAGGAAATTTGCTACAGATGATTCCCTCCTGGCTCACCTACTTCACAGTAACTCTACTTACAGAATGTGAATGAGAGGCCAAAAGGAAACCTGTGACCAAGATGGGGTCCTGGGATATAGCTCAGAGGCTGAGCACTGGCCTAGCATGTGCGAAAGGCGCTAGGCTCAATCTCCAACACTGAAGGCAAAAAGCAGCACACAGACCTGGCATTCTGAGCACCAACACCTTCAAAATCTCTTCTCCAATCAAAGCTCTTGTGTAGAAGTGGCCATGGGGCGCAGGGGCGGTTTCTGGGTCCCTGAGAGAGAACTCAGTCCCACAGCCCCTCTCAAAGATTCCACTTCTGAGAAAACCCAACCCAAGGGAGAGTCAGGAAGCCTGGCTTCCAGACCCAACCTGTCCTCTTGGCCTCCTCCCTTCATTTCCACCCCTACTAACTTCACTCCTTTGTAGAGAAGACCTCATCTTCTCTCTGCAAACTGGGCTGTGCCCTGCCCTCTCCCATCATCACTACTGCCAATAACATGGCTCCACCAAGCTCCTCAAGCCTGGGTGACATGAGGTAATACGGGTGGTATCTTCAAAGTTTAGGATTCCTGACTCTGATGCCAATAGTACTGAATTGGAATTACCAGGAGACATATTTTTAGCAAAGCTCTCTGTCCTAGTCTGCAACCAGAGATGCTGTCTTAAAATGGAAATAGGATTTTATCAGACACAAATTTCTTCATCTGTACTCGTGTATATAGCATGGCACTCTTGGCCCTTCACACCTGACCTCTGCTGCTCCCCCAGCCACTTGTCCAGCAACCCTGCATTCCAGCCTGCACCCACTTCCTGGTGTTGGGACAAAGCTGGCTGCTAGTTTAATCCCCTGGGTGCCCAGGTCCTCTGCTCAGATGCACTATGAGTGTCTACTGATCTTTTCAAGACCACAGCCTCTATCTTGTCCTCTGGGAAGCCTTAGTAGACTTCTCTCAGGGACGTCACTTCTGAGTCTTTAAAGCACCTTAAACACACTTCCAACAACAGATTTAGTATACTTCATTTTAACTTCTCTTAAGTTACTGCTTCCCGGCTCGTCAGTATGCTCCCTGGCATTTCTATGTTTAACATCTCCCAGTACCTGACAGGTTGTCAGCACACTCAAAATACTTGCTGAATGCTGTCCTTGGTCAGTACTCCTACAGCTCTGGAGATACCACATGCAGAGAAATTCCAGGGTACATCGGTTTTAGAACCCCAGAGTATGAATTTTAAGTTCTCCACTTATTAACTGTACTTTAGTTTTGTTTTACCCAAAATTGGATCTAATAATATGGCCTACCTATTATAAAGAGTAAATGTAATGATGCAGGTAAAGTATTAAGAATCACTATATACATTATTTTAGCTCAATGTTTATTTTGTTTATTTAGCTAAGTGCTCAGTTGTGTGCCTGATACACTGCAGGTTCCGAAGTAACTGCTGAAGATGCATAAAAAGGATAACTAATAATCACTATTTAAGTATCTGTCCTCTTCCCTGCTGTACCACCAATTCTCAGAAGGTAGGAACTCTGTCCCACCCATTTCTGTACCCCACTCCAACCCTAGCATAGTTCAATATAGAACCATTTAATTTATCTGAACATAAACTATTTAAACAATTTTGACAACTCTTACAAAATTCATCCACATCTAGGCAATTACAAGAACCACCTTGGGCATATCCTAGCCGAGACCCATACAGTGCAAGTTCACTGGCTTCAAAATACTCCTCTGGTTTCCAAAAACCCTAACTAGCTGGCCTCTAGCTCAACAACCCACTCTGTTTTTCTCAGGGCAGGGCCTGCCACCTGCTGAACCACATTCTGAGGTCTCACTGATGGCTGTGCTGCCCCCAGCACTGCCTCAGCAGCTGCTCAGCCTGGGGAGGGAGCTGGCGCAGGAAGCTGCCTGTGCAGCTCTGGGCCAGTCCACCCCCAGGGGCCAGGGGCTGCTATGGGCCAGAGTGTCAGGTTACCACAAAAATAACAGAGGGCCTGCCTACAGCCGGTGCCAAGTGCAGGCAGGAAGTGTCCAGGAGGTGACAAAGCGAAGCCTTGGGAAGAAAAAAGACAGACATTTGAATAGAAGTCAATGATGACCTGGGTTTTAAGAAATGTACTTTAAATTCATAACTGCTCTTCACGGCACCACTATAGTCCCTGCAATAACTCATTCACTCAGTATCCAACAGAGTACCTTACTTATAGTTACACTAAACTACTTTGAATGCGCCTTTAAAAAAGCATTTTAGGGCAAGCCAGAGATGGAGTTATCCATAGCTTACTCACTTGACACTGTGAAAATGTCAGATTTGGGTCAAAGAAGGTTTTAACAGGAATTCCTTCTCTACAAATTCCTGATACCGCTCACTTTAATTTTCTCAGAACTAAATCCAAACACGACGGAGCTAGTCTACTGTACAAGAACCAGGTAGACCTTCAAGAAAGAAAAGGCCAATAAAAAGCATTTATTTGCTATTGTTTTTCCTGAAATGAAATCAAAGTTCACTCCTGTGCTCCCCTCCTGGAGGAATGCTACCAGCTTGATGTGGTCTGGGCCAGCCTGGATACTGCAAATAAAGTTAGCTTCAATCACGGTAAGGAGTTAGCAAGTATTGATTCTCCATCCATTACTCTTTCATCTTGGTTTACTCCGTTCACAGTGCCTCTTTAATGTGCTCCTAGCAACTGTTTTATAAGTGGGTGGGTACAGACCCAGCTACAAGAAAAGATGACCTTCTCCACCCAGGCAGGTAAACCCCACCCACCCAGTGTATTAAGTTTCCCACTGTAACGTTGTAGGTGGGAAAGAAGTTCTGGATGCCCTGGCAGGTGAAGACTGAGCTAACTCTACCAGGTACATCAGATCCCCAACCTCAGAGTGCTAAAAAAGCAGGCGGGCAGTAGCGGGGTAGACCTAAAAAGAAAAACAGATTCCCTTAAATTTTTTAAAGTCAACTTTGATGGGGAAAAGGTTCCCCAATATCACATTATTTTGCAGTTACTGATTCATGTTTCACTTTAAAATATCAAGATGACAAGTATTCTAAGGCACAGCAGTATTATGAACAAGACTCTATCCACTGCAAATGCTGAAAAAAGGCTTTACGATAATTTTACTGGCAGCCAGACCAGCAGACATGCAGACTGTGTGTGCATGGTTTATTTCATTTTTTAAGCTTTTAAGAAAGAGCACTCTCACAAGCAAATCAATAAAAAAAAAAAAAAAAACCTTCACAGAGGACCCATGGCCGACAGTTTGAGGCCTGTAAATTTGGAAGAATACCACAGAAATACTGAAATTCACTGCAGTTTCATCCTGCCTTTGAAAACAGCCACAGACTAGCTCCCAGAAGACAGGCTCTTATCCACCTTGCTACTCCTCGTGTGGTCAGAATTAACACACTTCATGCAGAGCACATCACACCGGGCAATTACCAACCAGCATTGACTTTGCTAAAAGATCTTTAATAATCCAGGCTTTTTACTATAAAAGCTCTCATTAGTATCCCAGCTCTCTTTGCTTGTTCAGTGTGCCTGGTCACTTACACAAGGATGAGCAAAAACTGTGGACTTGACTCATCCTTCCCAGCCCTGTCTCCCAGGGAGCTGCTCATGTCTCTGCAGCGTGATACCATCACACTGGCCCACCAGGTTTAAAATTAGCCAAGCCCTGGCGAGCTGTGGGTAACCTTCCGACAAGGTTAGCCAGCAAAGCCGGAGAGCGACATTAATAAGAAGCCAAGTGGAGCCTTTCAACAAGGCCATCAAGGGTCGCTCGGAAGCCTGGCCGTCTGGGAGCAGGATTGGGGTGAACGGGGCAGCATGGGAAGAGGCTGACTTAGGCTCTTATTTTTATCCCACCAAGGCGGCAGCTTCCTTTACAGGCAATAAACACGACCTCTACAGGTTTAAATTCAACATATTTGCCCACAAACTGCTCAGTTAATTCTTTAAATCTTTAATTGGATTGCTAAAATATATTTCTGGAATTGCTCTCATTATAAAGTTGATACCCATAGATAATAACAGGAACACAGAGAAACATACACAGGAGAAAATAAATGTGCCTTACTATCCACACAGATAACAATCAGTGTTAATCAGGCATTCTGATGTGTTTTCGTTCACTAATCTGTTCTTCATCCTAGGGCTGGGGGGGTTTTATTGCCTACGTACTATTTCACATTCAGCATTTTCCAGAGTCTTGATAGTCTCTGCATCCATGACTTTAAGAGGTACATAGTATTTCAGATTGTACATCTACTATCATTTATTTCTTCACAGTTCGGCATCCAGATTTTGCCCAATTTGTTCTTGTAGCAAACATAATCATTTCCTAAGGACATATTCCTAA